AAAAGAAAAAAAAAAAAAAAGGGAGACATAAAACGTAAAATTAAAAAAAAAAAGTTATGTAAAAAATATACACCACCCCCCTAAAAAAGAAGAAAACCAGCAAAAACCCCACCCCACAAACCTCAAAACCAGTGTTTTGCCAGCTTAGAAAATTTGTTTGGGAGGTGAATATTCAGGGGAAAAGATTCAGTGTTTAGAATTGAGCCGATGAACTTCTCTTAACAAGTATTTCCTAGGAACAATACGAGAATTGTCCACTTCTATTGTTTCTGGCTTTGCTTTTAACTTCTTACATAAACTATACCAGGGACATTTTGATTTTCTGGAGACAGTGAAAGCAACAGGGAACCTAAAAGGTGCCTTAGTAGTCATCACAAAAACGTTTTTCCCCAAGAATCACACCGTTATTCTGAATGTGCCAGTTTTTTAATACTGTGCTGTGGCTGTTGCATGACTGGCATTTACAGGGATGTTACTGTTCTGTTCTCTGTAGATGGCTGGTAATTATTTCTTGATAGGTGTCACATGCTGTTTCTAACTCCTCCAGCAAGATGCCCTTTGGCTCTTCTGGATTGAGGCCTTATTTCTAGCTTTTGCAGTGTACTTAAAAAGCCTTACTTCATTTTTGCAGATGTGGCAGCACTTGTTACGGGTTAGATAACAACAGCGTGACGCTCTGTAAGTACAGGCCAGTGACCTGAAGAGGTGGTGTGAGTCGCACAGGAGAAAAGAAAAAAACAATCAGCTTAGTATTTAGGGATATTGTCTCAATGTTGGCTTTGCTTTTCCTTGGCATTTCATTGTCTGTGAGATTTTTCCGTTCCGAAACCATGCGTGTTTTGTGCTGCTGACTGGTGAGCTTTGTGCTGTTTTGTATACTGGGGGTGTTGCGGTTTATGTTGGCTTTTCTCGATATTCGCCGACCAACAGTAATTGTGATAGATGGGAGTCCGCAGCTTGGTAAGATCGAACCTCTGAACAGGCAGGTATCTGCTTGACCCCAGAACTGACACATACGTTCAACTCTGTGTGTTTTGTGGGCCTCAAACCTATCCTTGCGCTTTTTTAGTAGTTTGCTTGTTGTATGGCAGGGTACAGATTCTCAGTTTTTGTCTTTCCGTTCTTTGTGTGATATTGGAGGAGGGAGACGCTTGTGTGGTGGCACGTTTAAATCTTGTCTGTTGTAGTCTCAAGGTT